AAATGGAAATGTCTGACTTCAAAGAAAATAATTCCATAGCAACTGACTTTACAAGAACTTAAGATACACTCCAGATTACATGCAAGTTAAGAATTTGAATGTTTGCTTTTTACCCAGAACCTTCAGCCCTCGGAAGAAGAATATCTCTACAACATCAAATATTCTTTAAAAAAAATTAACCTTTTAGAGCATTAAGAGCTTTTTCTCCATCCTTTCTCCTCATGTAAGCAACAAAACCACAGTTTCTATTGCGAGCCTTCTCCTCTTCAGTTCTTGGCCACATGATTTTAACACTTGCCAAAGGTCCATACTTGCCAAACAGACGCATTAACATCTCCTCTGTCATCTAACAAATAAAGAAACAGCACCTGGGTGAATCATACAGACCTTGCAGATCTAGGACCAGATCCAGATTAGGATTACCTTTTCAGTAACATATTAAAAGAATGTTCTTCATGAAGATTAACTGCACTCTTTATGAGCAGCAATGCTTCTAATATCATTGTTTTATATAAATATCTATATATAATTGACTCCTTTTCTGATTGAGAAACTAAAAAATGGTAGCATGTGGCTCTCCTGCTTTGTCAAAATACCATTTTCACAAAAAACGCATCTTAAAGTTGAGAGCCCAACCCAAGTTTGTCAATACATAAAAGCCACAACATAATTCCTTAAAATAATTAAGCATATCCTCAGTTAATTTAATTTACCGCTGGATTGATGTTTCCAATGTAAAGATTTGTTGTGTTAGGGTCTCCAGTATCATGTGATCCATATGAATAGCCTTCCTCTAAAATATAAACAAATCAATTCAATATAACATGGACTAATGCTTGTAGTTAGTTGAGAAGGAAGGAAGGAATCACAATATATGTTTCTGCTCCTTGTCAGATGTTTTGTCTTCACAAGCACAAATTCACAACAACAGTCAGACTAAAGAAATTCAAAATTGTTTTTAAATAATTAGGTAACTTCTGCTTTGATGACTGAATGAATGAATGAATGAATGAATGAATGAAAACTTCATTACTGTATCAACGTTTTTAGCTGTAGATTAGCTAATTGGGGACATCTAACTTCAGTGTACAAAAATTATTAGTAAACGTTAAATACTTGCTAACAACATAATAATAAATACTATAAAATAATATAAAATGATTCTGTTCACAATTTACATAGTTTGCAGCAACTGCTATTGTTGTCAATGAGGTCTGAAAGGTCAGTTTTTCTTATTCTGGTCTTAAATGCCACGAGGGTTGGTGACGTCTTTAATTCTTGACCAGATAAATGGACTGTGGTATCGTATAGTGTGTTTACCATAACCCATAGTGTTAAAACAAGGTATTTTCCTGTACGCCCCAGTTCCTGAGGCAATACAGAGAGTTCCCAGTTTTGAATAGTTATCTAAACTTGACAATCACATACTTCATCAAAAAAAACTATTAGTCCATACCCTTTGAAGGTGCAAGAAGGGATGGTGCCATATTTTCTAAGACCTCTTTAGGAATATCAGCTAATTCACCCTTCTTTATCTTGTGTCTTATCTCCCGTTCTTTCTGTTGTCTGAACAAAAGGTGGAAAGAAAAAAATATCTATTGTGAGAAAATGATTTAAAGTATTAGGTATAAATAAAACAACTCGCTGATAACTTAAACAATAATTTTGTGTACCTTTTTAATTCTTCCTTAAAAAGTTCTAGATTGCTCTTCTTCTTTTCTTTCTCTTTTCCTTTTTTCTTAACAGACTCCTGAAAGAAATAGGGATAATGCAAAAACTGTCAATTTTTAAGTGAGAGTACATGCTGTAGCAAAATGCAAAAGTAATAGTGCATATGACATTCCCCTGATGATTAAAATACTGTTTATACCCCCAGGAGAGAAGCACTATAGAACCATGTAACTCCCTTGCACAAAAAAACAACAACAACAACAACAACAACAACAACACAACAAAGTTGACTGCATTCTGTACCTAGTCTTTGAGGTTAAGAGTTCTTTAACCCTTACCCTACCAAGGACGTATATATAAGTCCTACCTTATGTCACTCAACGACCAAGGACATATATATACGTCCTAAAAAACAAATCATTACAGAGAGCCTGGTTGTTTGCAATCGCTCGAAAAAATTATCTATGGTTGTTGAGAAAAAATTCAATATGGCCACCAGTAGAAGTGTGTGTCTGGCTGTGGTAGGGAAGGGGTTAAGCTAATCATTGGAGTACTATACACAAATTAACTTAAACTACATACATACCACTTTGGGTGCTGCCAATTCAGTCTTGATTTTCTCTTCCATGACAGTAGCAGAGAGCTTTGCCATTGGCTTGTATAAAGCTCCTGCCTGTGCTGAAGCAGTCTCCTCTGTTAAACATGACAAGTATACAAGTTAGTTTTTAATGCAGACTGACAACCAGCTCATGGCTGGGTTGCCAGGATTTGCCAGCTATAGGAGAAGTCTCCATCTAGGAGCTAGCTGCCAATAGTGGAAGCTCCTGGATGTTTCAGGCACTCAACGTCCACTTAATGATGCAGTTGTTAACTCAGACTGACAACCACACAAATCAGTTTTGAAATGAAAAAGTTTACCTTTTGTTTCTGGGTTGATTGTATTGCCACGCACAAAAGTCTTCCCAGCAACCCGAGCATCTTCAAATGAAGCTACAAAATCTGCAAACACTTCTGCACACTCTGATTCTGCTTTCTAAAAAAAAAAATAGACAATAACAAAGTGTTCAAGGACTAAAATCACAATCATCTTTTTTCCTTATTTTTTCTCTACACATGTTATTTTGACATGCAAGCAATAAACAAGATGTTTGTCCAGAATAAAGCTAATACATAATCTAATTTATCAACTGATTTGCCAACAAGTTAACTGAAGATCAGAGCATCCATATAAAAAAATGGAACTGATTGGAACATAGATTTTTCTCTCTCCACTTGCAACACATGAATCTTTAAATGTTGTCCTTCAGTAACATTTTGGGTAAAACAATAAAAACACTAAAGTGGTCTTGAATTACTGTAAAATACTGTAGAAGTCTGAGCTTTCATTGCTCGACGGCATCGTCAGGGACGGATAAGGAAAAATATTCCACAAGGGCTGAATAAAAGAGAGAAAAGTGCCACTATACTAATGAGCTAGTGTCACTGTGAGGGGATCCAGTGTGATATGAGAGGCGTTAGAACAATAGGTCCGTGAATTTAATGCATTCTTCTCGGGAGTTAAGTGTAACACATGATTCACATTTTCCTTCATTCTAATATATTCTCCCCTTTTTTCAGCAAACCTTGGGAACAAAACATATTTGAAACCTGTGGAATGTTTCATATGATTCCTCTGAAAGTTATTATGGTGAAAATGTCTGTCAATGCAAGCTGCACAAAATGTAGTTAACTTGATATGTTATCCACTGTAGGGATTGCAAAATACCCAAAAAGACAACCATTCAAGGAGCCAAAACATGCTCAACAGACACATGAAAATATAATTGCACCAAATATACAATTTTAGTATAGTTTCAGGGCTGAGCAAAGAGTTTCCAGCAATCTGATTGGTTGAGCGGTTCCTCATATGTAAACCGCTCCATGCCATTTATATAAAATGTTAAAATAAAATGTTCATAAATGTTGCTAAAATGTTATGATTTTAGAAATTTCTCTGTTGTTCAGCTCTGAAATTATACTAAAACAATTATTCACCTCAGGTTCGGTGAATATTGTCGAATAATCCCCTCGACTTCGTCTCGTGGATTATTCGATGATATTCACCTCGCCTTTGGTGAATAATTGTTAAATATTAAATCTATTAAATACGTGCATTGCCAAAGCTAACAATATAGCTCTTTCCAATGTTATTCTCAAACGCTTTCCTGTTAATCTCTCACTTTCCATTCTTGATTTGCATCCTTCAAAATCTTGTCCATAAGTCTTATGTTATTTTCAATAAGGGCATTTGCACATAGCCCCTTTCTTTCTCAAACAACCTTTAAATGTCAAGTTCCTGCAAAATCTGGCTTACAATTGCAGCGATTAATCATAAATCTTTGGTTTCTTATGATCTAAGAAATTCTAATCCACAAAATCACAATTAAACGAGACCTTTTTCTTCTCATCAGTATCTTGCTTTAGTCTAGCGGGTTTCTTCAGTCCAGTGTTCATCATTCCGACAGAGAAGGACTTCAACTTGCTCTCAGAAATTGTCTGCAAGGAATACATCTAATGTAAGACGTTACTTTTACAGTAAAACGTCGAGATCTTTGAATTCACTTATTTATTAAACTTCCAAGTCAATTGCTAGTTAGAAATGAGAGAATGGATCTTAATGTTAGCTTGCCTTCATCGATCCTGGTGTTAACCCTTCTGGGGTCAAACCCCACGGTAGGTTCTTCTCCGACTCCGATTTCTTCGCCGCCATTACATGTTGGTGTGTGGTTGGGGCCTTCCCGACATGCTTTGTTCTGATGCATAGCTACGCATGACCAAGGCAATATTGAGTGTAGAAATTATTTAATACTATAATATTCTGATTTCGATATCATAGTGGCCCGGCTAGCTCAGTCGGTAGAGCATGAGACTCTTAATCTCAGGGTCGTGGGTTCGAGCCCCACGTTGGGCGCTAATTTCTTTTTCTATTTTTTTTTTTTCTTACTTCGGTTAAAAATCGTGGTTCAAGAGTTATTTGTTCTCTTTGCTCGATTGTTTCAAAAATTGACGATATCACCGTAGCGGCTTGGCTGTGGGCCCAAAACGCTCACAAGATCTCTCTGGACTCTCTAATGACAAACTCTGATTTCCCCGCGAAGAACGAACTAAGGAAAAAAAACTGATTGACAACGGCGGACAAAATCGCTGGGCTCGTACGTACGTGTCTCTTTTCCTTCTCTAGATCAACTCTCCTACTCGCTGGTCACTTTTTTTCCCCTTTTTTTCTCGTTTTCTTCCATGCACGCAAGCGCGCCACTGCTCTTTCGCTACAATAAGACTAATCACGCGCGTTTTTCTTTAACACACAGCAGTTTGCTTATTTCTTTTAATTTTCCACTGGGTTTCAACTAAACAAGGAGACTGCTTTCATTTCATTATTGCTGTTCTCTCAGCTTTCAAGATCTGCGAATGACATTTTAGAAAAGGGAACGATGTTCACTAATTTTTGTGGATGTGTCTATTTAAAACTGCTTGCAACTGACGATTCAGCAAGCAACATTTCATTAATATGCACAAAGGGAATGGAAGTTCTTTCTTCTAAAAGCCTGGAGTGCAGGTCGCCCTGGCGAAATGGAACTAAAACCACAATCAGCGCCGGGCGTATATCTGAAAATCTGCAGGAAAAAAAATTATGCAATGTGTTATAAAAGTAACCATTTTAGATATCATTATTTTACTTATATGTGCACGATCCTTCGCAGTAAAGCACTATTTAAGCAATAGTGAAAATCAGACCTGAAAAAAATTCAGGCCTGTACGGGATTCGAACCACTGACCTCTGCGATACTAGTGCAGCGCTCTACCAATTGAGCTAACAAGCCAACTGGGAGCAGGCCATCAAATTAATTCGACATAAACCCGTAAGATGATAAATCAAACAACAAACATATGAAATACATATATACGAACTGCGGTTATGAAACGTATATGTGCACGATCCTTCGCAGTAAAGCACTATTTAAGCAATAGTGAAAATCAGACCTGAAAAAAATTCAGGCCTGTACGGGATTCGAACCACTGACCTCTGCGATACTAGTGCAGCGCTCTACCAATTGAGCTAACAAGCCAACTGGGAGCAGGCCATCAAATTAATTCGACATAAACCCGTAAGATGATAAATCAAACAACAAACATATGAAATACATATATACGAACTGCGGTTATGAAACGTATATGTGCACGATCCTTCGCAGTAAAGCACTATTTAAGCAATAGTGAAAATCAGACCAGAAAAAAATTCAGGCCTGTACGGGATTCGAACCACTGACCTCTGCGATACTAGTGCAGCGCTCTACCAATTGAGCTAACAAGCCAACTGGCCTCAAATTTTTTTCAGGTCTGATCTTCACTATTGCTTAAATAGTGCTTTACTGCGAAGGATCGTGCACATATACGTTTCATAACCGCAGTTCATATATATGTATTTCATATGTTTGTTGTTTGATTATTTTACTTGTAATAAATGAAAAAATAGTTTGACGGGGAAAGGTCCCTTACGCCCCATTTAAATGGTCTCGGTTACCTGAGAAAACCCTCCCCCCCGAGACAACTTTATAGAGTGTTCGTATAAAACTTGACATCCGCTAACCCTCATTCAGCCAGGCCAGGTTACATATTTGACAAAGAGTTAGACGACAAGAAAGGAATAGCTATAAAACTCACAGGCTCTGGTTATTGCATGTGCATGCTTTTTCTGTACGAGTTATCTTGTCTTGGGTGGGTGAGGTAAGGTGCTTACATGAGGAAAAGTTGTCCTGCCTACCAGAGTTACCCTACCCACTGAGGCCAGACAACTTGCCCCCCCCCCCAAGTTGTCTTGCCTACCCAAAACAAGTTTGCAATCTCATATTAACAGTCAGCTGAACTTTGTAAAGAAATAACCAAAAAAGTTTGCTAGCCAAGGGTAACTTGTGGGAGGGTTGTCTCGCGTACCCAAACCACATCAATAGAGCCTTAGGCATTCTTCACTTTCTAAATTACAGTTACTAGCCACTTTGTCAACATATCAACTTGCCAATGACCAATTTGTTGACACCATTTGTCGACTTGTGGACACCTTTGGTCAACTCTCCAAAACCACTTTAGGCTTAAAACTTAAAAAAATAGGTTTGACCAAGTATGTCAGCGAAAATGATTCCAAATGTTGGCAAAGTACTGACCAAGGGTGACAGTGAAAAAACCAGTAGGTTGCCATGTTGTTAATTCTTATAATTATTAAAAAGTGATGGGTGCACCATTCAAAAACGCAATCCCAACAAAATTAAAATAAAAGTAAACTTGCCTCTTCTTTATAGAATCCATGATGATTCTACTGACCTTTACTGTCATTTCACAGAATAAACTGAAATAATATAGTTTCTGGCACTGCAAGAAATATATATGAACAAAACCAAACATTTAACTTGTGTCAACATCCATTCATTGCCATGTTGGCTTCTAAATCTCCCAAATAACGATGAATGCTCAGAGGCCTTTCAAGATAACTAGTCTTGCAAAAGTTAATTCAGTCTGCTACACTAAAATTTCATTGTTTCAACACACCTTTTCAAACAATGAGATGATTGTTTGAGGAACCACTGCCAAAGGACCTTCTTTAGCAATAATGCACACGCGTTGAAGATGTTTTAATTCTCTAAGTGACAATAGGAATGACTCATTGATCCGAAACCCTTTCTGTTGAAATCTAGAAACAAAACACATATCCAACTACAATTAGCATGTAATTCTAACCACTACTAAACTACCACCTCACTCCCCCTACATACACACACAAACAGACAGACAGACACACACACACACACACACACACACACACACCCTTCCCAGAGCTTAATATATGTAATTTTTTTGCATTATTTGACTAAGCATAATTATTGCCATCCTCTAGATTGGATACTATGGCAAATAACACTTTATCCAGCCCCTGCATTATAAAAACAAAATCACAGTTCTGTAAAAGATTTTAAAAAAGTCACTTATATCTCTCAGGTAATCTAGATTTCCCTTCAAGTAGGAGTTAGTGTCCCTTGCCCTGAAAACAGAAACAAGGAACCTGAACTCTGAAAATGGCTCACCTAAAGATTCCCTTGTTTAGTCAGGCAATCTGGTAAGAGTAGGACAAGACATGTTTATGTCTATGTATCTCTCAGTGAGCTTATAATTCTTCCTTGAATAGAAGTGTTCCAATAGTTACCTTTCACCGTGGTAAAACTTGTACATGAGAATTCACCTGAAATCTCGAAGTTGATGGCAGCAAGAAAGAGCCTGTTGCAGCAGCGCAATATTCCCTGAATGACTGAGATTATTGAAGTTTGCAAGAGACAGAAATTGAAGATTGCTGCAGTTCTGTGCGATGGTCACTAGGAATTTCAATCCTCCTTGTGTAAATGGCACTAAAAAGCAGCAATTAAAATAGTAATATTAATTGGAGATCACAAATTCAAGCTATACTTTAATTAAGGATTTGCTCACTTGTGATATTATATTTCAAACTTGAGATTAAAAATTATCTTCAGAATCTCAGCTTAAGACACTACATTAGATATATAACATGATTATGAGCCTACTATTGCATGATTAAGAACCTTCTGCTGTCCAAGTGTTTCCTGAGCAGGGTTTTAACTTAGATTTCTGACAAATCTTTTAATGAATAACTGTACAACCTGGCTTTCAAAATAAATTTAAGTGAAGGTTTGAGAAACAGTTGAAAACTCTGTAAATGTCAAGTCCTATATTTTTGCACATTTATTATTTGGTAGTTCATGCAACAAAGGCCTTTATATGCATAAATTCAGCAATTCTTAGAGTTTTCTGCTTGAAAGACTGTTGAGATCACTTCATGGGAATACACCAATATAATTATTATAATTCTTTTCCAAGTTTGTGAACATCTACCTCATGTCTTTGTGGCTTGGAAAAGATTTCTTTGTACCACTATTCACCTTGGTTTCAAAGAAATGTTTTTTTGCATGAGAACTAACATGTTATTTGGTTCTAGTAGTTAATCCTTTAAATTCCAAGATCTGATTAATAATTCTCCCCTCTAGCTGCTAACCATTTCCTTGTAAATTAGTTACAAGAATCTGGTGTTAGATCAAGAAAAAACTTCTACCTGATAAGTTTGAGTATTCTCATTGCCTGCTTGCTGAATAATGTATGGATATTATAGGGAGAAGTTAAATGTTAATCATTTCTGGAAGTTAAATGGTTAAAGAGCCATAATGGTTATGAGTCAAATCTGAGGGACAAACCTGAGAGTGTAAGTCTTTGCAGGTGTTTCCAGTTTGCAATTGGCAGGAGGCTGTCAAATGTACCCCTTCTTACATCACATGTTTGTCTGGATGATGAAAAAGGAGAGTAGTAATCACAATCATGATGAATGTTATTATGAACCCTTTGCATCCTAACATCACCCTGCAAATTCTCTTCTCTGTTCTCTATACCTTTCCTGCAATGCTGATGAGATTCTTTGGTCAGTGATCATTTAACAATTGGTTCATATGTCAGCGTGCGTTCATTGAGATATGAAGCATGTGGGAAGTTTGGAGAGCATGAAAAATGCATAAGAGTCACTCGAGGCTTAGCTGAGAGCAACTCTAGCTTCTTGAGTGCTCTCCAAACTTCCCAAGTGCTTCATATCTCGATGAACGCACAGCTGACGTATGAACCAATTGTTTTATAACATTTTCAACGCTGTATTTTATGTATAAAGGGCAGAAATTCCTTCCCCTATGCTTCAATGCATTGTTTATTTTGTTTCGGAAAAGTATTTCACCATGCTTCAATGATCTTGTCTCAGATTGGTCAAAAACTGACAGGTGAATTCATGCATGGAAAAGAAAAGTTGCAAAACGAGATGAAACCATTGATTGTTTTGTTTTCCCTTTCTCTGGGTTCTTTCTCAGGTGTTAAAAAATCCATTCCCAAAGAAAAAGTAGACAAATCTTCATCGGCTTGTTCACTTGTTGCCATGTCTAGTTTAACTTTTTTTCGGAAGTTTTTCCCATTTTTTAATAAAAAATGCAGAAGTCACTTGCGAGAAAAAATTTTTTTCATGAGGCATTTGTTTGCTGACGTCACCAGCATGTACAATGGAAAATTGAAGCACACTCGCGCTATTGAATTTGATTGCACGAATTTACGAGCTATGTTATAATTCCTCTTTTCTCATGACCTTAAATGTGTGATTCAGGGGTGATATTGTAAGGAGAAATTTCAGTAGATGCCAGTCACTCTAAGGGTCAAAGAGTTAAGAGTTTGCCATCATCAGACAAGCTGACAGGGCTTGCCATGTAAGCCTAATCAAGGGAAAAGAAATAGTGCTCATGTTTGGGTTGTCCAATGGTAAATTTGAAAAAAAAGAAACATATTAAGTTTGGAGCTCTGTACATTGTGTGCATAAATTATACCTCTTCCATTTCTTAGCAAGTGTTGGTGTGATTCAGGACCCAGTTGTTCAAAGACTGATTAGCGCTAACCCAGGTTTAAATTTTAATCTGGGTTTCCTTATCCCTTTGTTCAATAGCCTTTCCTGGATAATTTTCTCTATTCTTTGAAGGACATCCAGTCATCAAATTGTAGACAAAAATAATTGTACTGAGTTTTCTTTTAAATCTTTCACACTAACCCTAGGTTATCTTAACCTAGCTTTGAACAACCCGGCCCTGAAATCTAACTTACACTGTTGGGTAGAAGGCTCGATGGTAGGCAGTTTCTCTGTCAAGAAATGAAGGAAACCAAAGTTCAAAGTCTGTTATTCCTCTGCATTCTTGAGTAAGAACAAAAAAGCTGTTCAGCAATTTGGTGACTGAGTCATCCCTTGACTGAGAATTTTTAAGATTCTGTTCATGACAGACTCTTTTTTTTCCCTTGACTATCCTTCCTTTAGAGCTAGTCTCAGCACCGTCCAAGTGATCACTCGAGACTTGATTCATCACACACGTACAGATGCTGAGAGAAACCAGATTGGTGAATTTGGAGATGACCTTGATGCAGCTATTTGATTCTTCCTGGGATGTTTGATCATAATGAACTCCGTTGAGGTTCAGCTCAGTCATTTTTGGGCAAAATAAAGCCAGTGACTCTAGTCCATGAATCTTCAATGTAAAATATATTAATTCAGCAAGAAATGACAACAGAAGCAAACTTAACACCTCACTTCTTCAAAAATGTAACTGTGACTAGAGTGTAATTACAAAAAATTAAAATTGAACCCTTTCGCTCCAATAAGTGATTAACATGTCAGTTCTCCCTACAATATCCATAAATTATCCAGCAACCAAGTAATGAGAATATACTCAAAGAGTTAACAGACTTACTGGAGTGAAGCAACCAGAACAATTTTGTACGTTGAGAATCTCCAAATTTGGTGAAGAAGTTGCAATGGCTTGAAGAAAATGGCCAGTAATGACCAGATTAGAAAGATTCAAATAAACCAATGTCTGCCACTGGAAGCTAAGAATTGCTGTCAGACAATCTACATCCTTCAAATCCAAGACCCCCAACTTCAAGTTGACAATAGATGACCTGTTTCCCACAGTTTTCACAAAATTTTCACAAATATCATGGTTTCTGTAATTGGTTAATGGATGGCTGGTGGGCACAATGAATGTACGGAGAGTTCCACTTTCCAACTCGTGAATGATTGACTCCCGTGCTTCTCCAATAATACTGTAACCATCATAAATAATTCCCTTCTCTCTTCTTTGAAACTGGATTTCACTTCCTTCAATGGCAAGTTTGGGACAAGAGGACGATAAACGACCTGATGTATCAATCCACTGCAAGGTAAATGACTTCAAATGAAGTTCGCTGCAAATGATTGGAATTCCCTGATCCACTATGAAACAGGTATCATAAAAGCAAGGAAGCCGGATTGTCAGACTATCCAAACCTTTAAAAGCTTCAGAAAGTCCACTGCAGAAAGAGAGCAATATTCCTTTGAATACTCTGTCACTAGTACATGTATCACTATGGGGCAAATCCCTTTTACTCATAGACCATGCAAGCGTTTTAAGGTTGGCATTGAGTTTTAAAAGAGAACAAAGTGTTTTTTTGGTAACACTACAACCAAGTACGTTGAGAAATGTTAATTTTCGGCAATTTTGCAGCGTTCTAGAAAGGATAGCTCCTTTAATCCAATAGCAGTCTCGTAGATTCAGCTCTTGAATTGAGTGCTTAAACTTGCCGATGTAGTTACAGATGATACCAGAGGAGAGATGTTGCTTCCCATGAAAGTTGATGGATCTGAAAACAAAACATGCCCGTCAGAATTGAACGCAGTGCCGTAATAAAATTAGAAAATTAGCCACAGGCTGTTATTAGTTAGCTCTGAAGTTTATTTACTATCTGCATGAGCTCACATATTCACGTTACTTTTACGAGGAGTTTTGATCCTCTCCCCAAAATGGTAGTTACTATTTATAGCAAATAAATACTAAATAATAAATACTAACTAATAAATACTAACTAACCTGTGAAGTTGAGGAATAAGTGCAAGTCTACGCCAGCAGCGGTTCACTCTCGACAAGGAAATAAGCTCCAATGGTTCAATGTTCTGAAATATCAAAAGCAACACCTCCTCTGAAAGACTCTCCATCATAGCTTTGCTGGGAACAACAGTTCATGTAATGGAAATGTAATATCCATAAAAAAAACCCAGATTCTCACGGTCAACATGGCGGCCTTGTCGGACAAGGTGATTGCACAAAGTTATTCAATCACTAGAAAGTGCCGTTGTAAGATAAAGTAATGTCTGTTGTTCGTCATGATACTGATCCCGGTGAGCCACCTGAGGCTCTTAAAGTTAAAAATGTGGATGACCGTTCGACTCTTTCTCAAAACACTACATCTGATCCAAAGAATGAACAGGCCATATCCGTGAAGAATTCAACAAGTTGTGTAGTCGACAACAATGGAGTCGCACAGCAGGTTGAAGTTCAAACAGAACATCCGATTTCTACTGATGTTGAGCAGGATGCCAATCGAAATGAAGATAATGGCGTAAGAACAAGTGACAGGCACTTGTTGAACTCAAAATTAAGTGTTCAGAAAGAGAGCTCTGCTGACTGCGAGCTGAACAGCACTAGCTCTCGAGAACAACCTTCTCAAGATCAGGAAGAAATCTACGAGATCCGTGAGAACTATTTTCATCAAGAAGAAAAGGAAGGTGTGAATGATTCAAAACCAAAAAGTTGCGAGGAGGAAGCCAATGACACCATAGAAGGAATGGAATTAGAAGACACCTACAAGTACCAAATGTTTGATTTTTCACTTATTTACTATTCTGCATTAATCTTTCCTGGCTACAGAGAGCACTTTGATAGGTTGATAGCTATGTGTATATATCTACAGAGAGCACTTTGATAGGTTGATAGCTATGTGTATATATATATATCATTGCCGTTGCAATTGCGCATGCTCGCTGGTTTACTCTAGTTTGAGCACTCTGGCATGGCTTAGACGATACCACAAAGGTTGGGTCGTTTGGGGTGACCGTCTCGGTTCTCCCCCATCCTAGCATTAGCACTGCACTGATGAGGCCCAGAAGGCCGAAACAGTACTGTCTGCAGTTAGTTATATATATATATATATATATATATATATATATATATATATATATATAT